CATGAAGCGCAACCTGCAGTGCAGTGACGACAGCAACCTCATACGCAACACGGGCAAGAAGGTACGTACGGCACACGTACGGTGGCGCCACGTGCAATGTTGGGGTTCCACCGTCCCCTCGGTCTCGCTCGCCGCGGATTATATACATTGATAGTTACCAGGGGTGAATAATGACAAATTTTCTCAAATTAAAAAATTGTCAAAATTGTTCAAATTTTTGTCATAATCACCCCTGATAGTATCGTTCTCCACTACACGCGCACTTACTGCTATATGGTGTTATTTACTGTTATATGCTGTTATTTACTGTTATATGCTGTTATATACTGTTATATGCTGTTATTTACTGTTATACACACACACACACACACACACACACACACACACACACACACACACACACACTAAACGTACAATGCTTGGCGGGGGCGTTAGGGTTATCACAAAATATTTCAGAAAGGTAATTCTTCCTTAACTTACACCTACCGCCGATGTTCACCTGTTACCTCTTCCGCACCATATAACCATGACCATATCCCTTACCCCCCCCCCCCTATCCGTAACCTTAATTCTAACCCTGATCCTAATTAACCCTAGCCTTAACTCTAATCCAAACCCTAACCCTATCCCTAACGCTAATTGTAACCCTAATTGTAACCTGAACTACTACTACTACTACTACTACTACTACTACAGCAACGACAGACTCGACTTACTGCCAGCATGATATCTGCGTCTGACAGAAACGTGAGTCATCGCATTTCTTTGATTCGCAAACTTCCAGCTTTAGCGAATAGATCCCCTGCTCAGATCTCGCAGAATTTTCTACCCTGTGTCCGGTACGCCGCAAGCAATTTAGTACCCTGCAAGGCGAGAGCTCTTCTGCCGTTCGTATAGGGCAGCAGAACAACTGCATCAGGCGCTGCCACGTTTAGATTGGTCGATGCATTCTACTGTTAGCCTGCGTTCAAGAGGCCTTGCAGTCATACGTACCCTGCGCGTCAGGAGGGATTCCTTCTATCGTTATTGCTCTTCCTGCCGGTGCATTGTCCATCCGCGGTATCCGCAGGAAAATACCGCCAAAACATCTAAAAACTATGGTCGTCTGCTGTCGTAAGTGTGGCTGTGTGACGTCACACGACGAGTTAATTGCTAGAACTGTTAAATAGGTTGTGTTAATACTTAATAGGCTGGTTAACACGCGGGAACGTCATGTCTGATACCGCGTAATATCGTATGATTCTGTCAGATCTACACACATTGTCTGTAGCCTCTCGTCTCCCCGCCCTCCGTGAACCGCTCCCACTCCACTCCCGATCTCATCATCTCTCCCGAATTTAATCATCACAACAACTGACTAAAACCAATAGCTGGTTTTTAAGGCTTCATGAGCCGGTCCCATGAACTGTGATAATTTATGTGATGTCGTAATTCGATCGAGTTGCGATAAGTTATGCAAACTAATAAATATAGTCATCAATTCGGCATTTTGCACGGAGACGCCTGATCAAATTACAAGATGGCCGACTATGTTTATGGATTTGTGAATTGTTAATCCTCGCTGCGAGTGTAACAATATTCAATCTTGCATCGCCAGCACGTTAAACCACCACATCCCGTGTGCTCTACGGCACGTACAAGTGACGCCGCATTTCGCTCACCGTGAGGCGTTTCATTGCGTTGCTAGTCATGTCGTCGTCAAGAGGCACCCGCATATGGTTGGCCATCGTCCTCAGAAATAATTATTTCTACCGCGGTAAAAATAATTGATCCGTTGTTAAATTACGAGTACGATGGCCAACCATACCCGCCACCTCCGTGTTAACGCAGTCTCGCAAGGATGCTGGTATTACGGTGGGAAATCATTTTCCATTGGCGGCCATACATACGAAAAAATTCCCATAAATCAGCAAAGAAAAATCGAGAAAACACAAAGCCACCCTCTGAATTGACGATGGGAAGAGTTCTAACCCTTTCCATTGAGAAATGAACAAAATCAAGAGCACGGATACGCAGTAAAGCGATTTCATTCCAGCGCGCATTTGAGGGCTGATTTGCACGCGTAATACCTGCTGCTGCCTTCGCCCCGTGTGTGTCGTGTAGTGTCAGCGATAGGGTCGCATTTAATCGCATGTAATCTAGACACATTATGCCAATATTACTCCGAGTGTTCTCGCAGAGAGTGATTGATGGTTATACCCCCCCCCCACACACACACATACACACCTAGCAGCAGCAGCGGCGGCGGCGGCGGCAGCAGCGGCAGCAGCGGTAGCAGCGGTAGCAGCGGTAGCAGCGGCAGCACAAGTAGTAGCAGCAGCAGCAACAACAACAACAACAACAACAACAACAACAACAACGACGACGACGACACAACAACAGTAACATAAACGGCAGCAGCATCAACAGCAGCAGCGTCAGTGGCAGCAGCAACAGCCCCAGCATCCAGTGACAGCAGCACCGCAGCAGTAGTTTGATGGCAGCATCATCAGCAGCAGCAGCATCACCAGCAGCAGCAGCAGCAACAGCAGCAGTAGTTGGATGCCAGTACGTTGACACGTTGCTATAGCAGCACATCGCGCGCGGGGAGATTGGTAGCAAGCCGATTGACCCGATGCTCGGTCTCATCCGCAGCAGCAGTGTTGCTGTCACGTCTAACGTTGAAGCACCACGATAGATCGCTGTGTGCAGCGGAGCAGTTTTTTCCTCAAGGATTTCGATGTATTTTTCGTAGTACATCCAGCTAGCCGAGTTTCATATTGTTTCTCTCGAACATGTTCGAGTTATGGGAAGCCTTATCACAGTTAGAATGCATGCATGGTATCGTGCAAGCGCACGCACACACACACACACACACACACACACACACACACACACACACACACACACATACACACACACAAGGGCACGCACACACGTGCACAATCACACACGCACACTCGCACGCACGAATGCACGCATACCCACGAATGCACGTACGCACACACGCGCGTACGGTACTCCACGGCAATAAACCAGAAAGTGGTGTGCTCTGCTTGATTAGATCTGGTGAGTATGGAGTGAAGCACGTGAGGCTGTCATTAACGGACGACAGTGGCTCTGATCCGTCGCTGCGTGACCATTTCCAGCAGATCTCGCTGTTTAAATTACTGCCACTCTCGATTACGCTGCGATATATGAGTACAACGCTATACGTACGCGGCGCAGATACGTGTTTGCAAAAAGAAAGATTTTAAGCGCAGATGAATCACTGAGGTGTGTGTGTGTGTGTGTGTGTGCGTGCGTGTGTGCGTGAGTGCGTGCGTGCGTGCATTTGTGTGTGTATGTGTATGCGTCACTGCGTGCGTGCGTGCGTGCGCGTGTGTATGCGTCACTGCGTGCGTCAGCAGAACGGAGTCAGAAGGATATATAGCGGTCATCTTCTTTCTATGACTTTCTCCGCCGTATAATCCACGTCTAAATCTTTGTGATTCCTCATAGCTGTGACCGCCACGTCCTGACAGTCATATCCAACCCGTACATATAATGAATTCATTTGAAGCTCAAGCAGTTACTGCAATTAATTACATTCCTGCGGTGTCATGATTGCATTTACGAGCACAGGCGGATCCTAATATTACTGTATCGTGTCGTATCATTGCGTCATTTGTGTGTGCGTTATCGCGCGTGCGAAATTTTATTACTATTTATCATATATTTGCAACAGATCGCCAACCTAGCATCATCCTACGTGTGCCATCAGCTACTGCTCTACACGGACCGGTCTGTCTCTGCACAGCTTGTCGATCAGTTATTCAAGGCTCTACAGGTATATAGTACGCGCACATGCACACGCACACGCACACGCACACGCACACGCACACGCACAGGCACACGCACACGTACACGTACTAAGGTAGACTAAGGGTATAGGCTAGTTATCCTCGTTCTATTTTGTCGTGTCAGAGTCACATAATCCTAGTATTCTTTATTCCTGATGTTACATTTCGTCTCCTGTTCTCATTAAACAAAATTATTTTCTGCTAATCTCGGAACGTGTGTGTGAGGGGGCAACATGAAGTTTTGTGAAACGAGAAATTTAAATCAATGTTGCGCGTGACTGAAGGTCAAAGGTACCATTCTCTACAATTGGGCAATAATTGCATGGTATAAAAATTGTATATATAATATATATATAGCAAACACGTACGGCCTACGTACTGTACAGGGCTCAACTGTAAATTGCGACCAGTGCATAGTACGCTAGATCTGCCTTGCTGACTGTCAATGATGCCCTCCCCCGTATAATGTGCATTCGCTCTCTGTACGCGCCGCACGTACACGTGAGTAAATGCGGCGAATTTATATCGCAATCGAATTCCTCAACTTCCTAGCGCAGCGTTTTAATGTGATGGCAGTAGCCGCATCACGAGGGCGTCGCCGGTGCCATCTGATGGGGTTATATTCAATTATGTGCCCCCACAATGCTGTCCGTGTGTGCACCTTGCGTTTGTGTTGTGTCACTGCGTGTGTCACTGTGTGCATCACTGCGTGCGTCGCCGTGTGCGTCAGTCAAGAGGAGACATTCAGGTCACCTGTCCTTCATGGCTTCTCCGCCGTCTATCCCACGTCTAGATCCTTATAGATTACCCGCGGGAGCGACTGCCACGTCGTATCAGGTGGCAACGGCAAGAGCGCGTAACCAACGACCTAATTAAAATATTATCATGGAATATTCTCTTCCATTTTATACATGTTCCTCTCGCAACTAGGACGTTTACGTGACGTCCTTACACGCATGTGCCGGCCATGTACGTGTCTGTCGGGTCGCGTGACGACACTTACATATAATACAATATAATATATAATATAAGATGTGATGTGATGTGATGTGATGTGATGTGATGTGATGTGATGTGATGTGATGTGATGTGATGTGATGTGATGTGATGTGATGTGATGTGAGAGAGAGAACGAGAGTGAGAGATGGGGAAAGGGGCAGAAAAACAAAGTCTACTCACTGGGTTTGTCCGGAGTCTTGACGAAGTACTGGCTGGTGAAGGTGCGACCGTCCGGGTACTTGGGATGCGGTGGCAGCCGGCCATCCAGGTAGGTGCACAGCATGTGCATCACAATCTACCGACACAGAGAGCAGAATATTCGTCAAGCTGGGTCCAACGCCACGAGCAGTACAGTACACAATCTATTATCCGAAACCCTTGGGACCAGACACGTTTCGGAATTCGGAATTTTTCGGATTTCGGAATGGTAGTACAGTACAGAGATACATACCGTATATTTACAATTGAAAATTGCATATTACATATTGATAGAATATTTACAAGTTGAAAACTATGCAAAACGCTGTTAAAACCGTGTCATACTCTTCTCTATTATGTACTCTTGATATAATGCAACTAGCCAGTACTATTTTCAAGAGGCCAAGTGCTGTTCCGGTATAGTACAATATATATGAGTAATGCCAAACACATTAATATTTCTGCAGTGAACATTGTGCAGCCAAACGCGAGCTTTGGTGTGCGACGACCTCCACGAAAAAAACTTTCGGTTTTCGGAGCTTTTCGGTTTTCAGAATTTCGGATAATAGATTGTGTACTGTAGATAATAGCTGCTTGACAAACCCCATTGAAATACAGTGATATACAGCGGCAGGAGACCATGATGAAATCAGCAGTGAATGAAAACAAGGTAAAAAAACAAAATGAAATCAGCAGTGAATGAAAACAAGGTAAAAAAACAAAATGAAAAAACATTTGTTGTTTTTATTCACTCCTGATAACATCGTAACATTTGTCACAAAGCTATGTTGATAGCGTACATGCGCGTCTCAGTCTGCTAAAACCACTTATAATCAAGGAGGTGCATTGCCAGAAACGTAAATAGTTATGACTGCAATAATTATGAGTTCAAACTTTCATCATTTTTGCATGGAGTTGCACATCACAAGATGTGAGATTTCAGACTTCTGATGTCATAATAACTTATGATGTTTCTGACACTGCTTCACACCAGATCGCTCATCCCGTGTAATTCGTAAATTTCTTCCCAGATGCCATGTTGTATTAGATTAACTTATAACATTTCGATATAATAGGACTTCAGTACCACACAGCGCGCATCCGTTCTTATAATCGGCATTCGTGTGTACGGTAGATAGATAATACAAGATGAAAAATATTGGGTATTACCAGGAGTAAATATGCGATAGGATTTACTTCTATTATTTGCTGCTGATATCAGATCTTACTTCTGTTATTAAAGCAATAGCCGAGTATCATGGCACGTTAACACGAACAGCCTATAAAGTAAAGCAAGCTATATCTCTTTCTGTCCCACAGGGTCCCATATTTTCTTGTTGCGTCTCACACGTTGTATTTTCGCGGGATCTTATTGTCTCTCGTTGTTTCTTGCAGGGTCTCACTGTGTCTCGTTGTCTTGCAGTGTCGCATTGTCTCATTGTGTCTCACAAAAACTCATTGTTTCATAGTCTCACAGGGTCTCATTATGTCTCACAATATCGCATTGTATTACAGGGTCTTGTTGAGTCTCACAATGTCTCATTGTCTCGTAGTCTCACTGGGTCTTATTGTCTCATTGCGTGTCACAGTCTCATTGTCTCGTAGTCTCAGTGAGTCTCATTGTCTCGTAGTCTCAGTGGGTCTTATTGTCTCATTGCGTCTCACAGTCTCATTGTCTCGCAGGGTATTGTTGTGTCTCATTGTATGGTAGTCTCACTGAGTTTTATTGTCTCATTGCATCTCACAGTGTCTCAATGTCTCGCAAGGTCTCATTGTTTCTCATTGCATCTCACACTGTCTCAATGTCTCGCAGGTTCTTACTGTGTCTCACGTCTCATTGTTTCACAGGATCTCACTGTGTTTCCTCGTGTCTTGCAGGGTCTCTTCAACGATGGATCTTCGTCCCGATCTAGCCTCGCCAGCAGTTCAGGCAGCGAGTCCTGCGACTCGTGTGACTCCAGCGACGACGACGATTGGATCTGACTGGCCCGTCGCCCGTGACGATGTGCGTCGACTGGCAAGCGAGAGTCGGTGAGGATGTCGACACAAGAATGAAATCGCTCGGCATATTGTGCGGTTCCAGGTCGGCCCATCGACGGAGCGTTCGAGACAGTCCAGCCGTCGCTCCCGGCATGAGGCAATGCTGCCTCGTCTACGAGCGGCGACGATCAGCTTCCTGTTGCAGGAGGGCGAACATTTCAACATGATGAACAATTCCGGTTAACTGACGCGACGGCAAGAAATAGCAAGGAATAGTATGGCCAGCAATGTTGCCATGCCCCGGAGGCAGATGGTGCCACTAGCTGCGGCACGTAACGTACCGGCAGGTTGGATACGTTGGAAGCGGGGCGATGATTTTGCCTGGCAATCCGACTATTATAGTGTAAATATTGTCTTTTTTATATCGTTAGAACAGACACAACACTAGACGAGATGTGGAAACGACAAAGGGGATGAGGAGCAGGCCGTGGATGCGGGTGTTGAGAGAAGCTGAGTGGATTCCGTGATAGATGTAAGGATTGCAGAGTCAGTGAGGTCCTAGGTCCTTCGATTTAATTAAGGTCGTCATCGTGGGATATTTCACTTTGAGGTTTCGATTACAGTGTAAAGATGGAGGGTTCAGTGCGGCAGGTTGTAAGTGCTGGTTGTTGTAAGAGAAAGGTAGAGGTTGCGAAGACGTTAGATGTGATATGTACTCATTGCGGATCCAGCGACAGTGTCGAGGTCCCTGTGATCATCAGTGAGGCAGGGAATGACAGTGTGGGCGAGTCAGCGAGAATCTCGTTAAATTGACTACGTCACGAATTTCCTATGGTAAAATTTGTAAAAAAAAAATTGCCATTTTTTTACATTAAAAGTAAGAACTAACGTTAGTAAATATATCCTCAAACTCTCACCTGATAAAAATGTTTTTACGTTGGCAAAAATCTAGACGATTTGGTAATTTCTGTTGTCTAACACTATTCCCCCAGTACTGTTCAGATACTTCATGGCGTCTCTCTGTTTTTCACCGGCAAATTAGGGCATATAGAGAAGGTATATAAGCATGAAAAGTAAACAGAAACACTAATTGTATTTTCATACATTTGATTTTGTACAAATAACACACAAATATACTACTTGATGGTGCTAGAAATTCGTGACGTAATCACTTTAAGATCAGCTCATTAAGATGGAAAACGTCTGCACTGATTGATCATAAGATCACATATCGAGAGATGTAAAGGGTCTTATGACAAAAGTAAGACACGCAAGGATAGTGAATTTACAGTCGTCGATTGGTTTGTTATTGTGGGAGGGAGTTACAGAGTAGGCGAGCCAGTGCATTGGGAGCTTCGTGAGTTTGATCTACGTGGTGGCAGAGGCAACTTGGTGTCGTGACAGTCAAGCATACCGTGGTGGTGGTGTGTGCGTGCGTGCGTGCATACGTATGTGCGTGCGTACATGCGTGCGTGCATCTCTCGTCTGTGACCCAGAGATCTCTGTCGCTGCACTGCACACAAAAAGCAGACGGATGCAGGCGACTGGTTCGAGACATCAGAAGTTTGACCGGCAGCGGTTTCATC